AAGGTTGGAGGTTGGAACCCACCCAGTAGCAATGAGGAAGAAAGGCCTAGCAATCTGCTTCTGTAAAGATCAGAGCCAAGAAAACCCTAAGGAGCAGTTCTACTCTGTTAACACACAGAGTTGCCATGAGTCGGAATCGACTCAACAATGGGTATGGGTAAGAGCTTTTAATTACCTCCAATTACAGCCATATTTCACTGTCTGATGTAGTCGCAACATATCCTGACCGACCCTCTCTGAGGGGGAGAGCAATCAAGCAGCCACTGGTAATAGAATTCTACAGTGAAATCTTTATCCTTTTTCTAACACACAAAATTCAACCATGTGCACAAGGCCCCTACAATGCTGTCAGGCAAGTACTAGTCATTTGACAAAATAATAAAGAAACAGTCCCGGCCCTCAAGAGGCCTAAATGTTGTTAAAAATACAAAATATACCTGTACCAGTGGGAATAAGCTAAGATTACTTCAAGTTTTACTTTGTATGTTTATTAAGACAGCCAGGCAGTCCATTTTTTTGAGCTTTAGCATCCTCATTTGTCAAAGGAAAGAAAAGAACTGTATTCTTGGTCAACCCTGAAAGGCTATCATGACAATTAAATGAGGCCAAATAAGACAAAGTGGGAGGAAATGTATTTAAGTGCTTTACAGCTCTACTACAGGAGAAGACCTCCTACAATACGCAGATGATCTACCTGAAATAAATGATAATGGTGGCAGAGATGGAGTGGGGGAAGAAGTTGTTGTTATAGGCGCCATAGGGTTTATTTCAACTCATAGTGACCCCATATGGCAGAAGAGAAGTGCTCCATAGGGTCTTCTAGACTGTAACCTCTATGGGAACAGATTACCAGGTCTTTTTCCCACGTAGCCAACGAGTGGGTTCAAACCACCAACCTTTCGGTTAGCAGCCAAGTACTTAACCATTACGCCGCAAAGGCTCCTTTCATCTGGCTAAATAAGGGGAGGCTGGTAAAGGCCTCGGAGACCCTGGGTAGTGCAAACGGTTAACACGCTTGGCTATGAACCGAAAGGGTGAAGGTTCAAGTCCACCCAGAGGTGCCTGGGGAGAAAGTCCTGGCAATCTACTTCCGAAAACTCAGCCAGTGAAAACCCTATGAAGCATAGGTGTACTCTTGACACATGTGGAGTTGCCATGAGTTGTTTATTTTGTTGTTGTTGAAGGCCTCAGATAAAGGGCCTTGAATTCTGAGCAGAAGAAGCTGGATCTGCTCCAGCACAGAGTAACTGTAAGTTCTTAAACATGGAAATGGTAAAAGAATTGACAGCTGGAGAAGGCAACTGCATTCTAGAAACCACTGTCCATCTGGAGGCCTACTCACTGCTCTAGAAATCCCAGAGTAAGTTCAAGTTCATGAGTGGCTTCAGGCACTGTATTAGTCTCCTAGGACTGCTGTAATAAATTACCACAGACTGGGTGGCTTTACACAATGAAATTCATTTTCTCACAGTTTTGCAGACTAACAACAACCCACTGCCGTCGAGTCTATTCCAACTCATAGCGACCCTACAGGACAGAGTTGAACTGCCCCATAGGGTTTCCGAGGAGAGGCTGGTGGATCTGAACTGTGGATCTTTTTGTTAGCAGCTGTAGCTCTTAACCACTGTACCACCAAACTAGAAGTCTGAAATCAAGGGATTGGCAGAGCCATGCTTCCCTCTGAAGGCTCTAGAGGAGAATCTGTTCCATGCCTTTCTCCTAGCTTCTTGTATTGCCAGCAATCCTTGGCATTATTTGGCTTGGAGATACATCACTCCCATCTCTGCCTCCGTCATCACATGGTCTTCTCCCTGTAGGTCTCTGTGTCTCTGCCCGTATTTCCTATAAGGACGCTACTTGTATTGAACTGGGGCCACCCTAGTGACTGCATCTTAGCTTGATTACAGCTGCAAAAACCCTATTTCCAAATAAGGTCACATTCACAGGACAGGGTTTGGGACATTAACATATCTTTTTGGGAGACACAATTCAACCCATAACAGGCCCCACGAAGCTAGAGGAATGGAAAGGATAAGATCAACTCCCCTGAGTTATTTTCTCCCAATCTATAAGGGAGCAATGGAACCTCCACTCTAATGGCTAAAGCACTGCAGGGGTAACCCCAGATGTCCACAGGCAAAGCCCCAAGAGGGTCAGGTCATCTCTCCCTCGTCTCTCTGCCATCCACATGGCTTTTTATCTTAGAAAACACCTACCTGCTCTGCTCTTTGGAAAACTATCCTCCATCATGCATCCAAACCAAATAATGTCATCCTCCAAATACTATGAACTGAGATCAGGAAAATAAGTACTTTTTTAAATGGTCCATCCCTCATGGAGCACCTACCACTTGCAAAGACATTCCTTCTCCCCACTGATTTAAAAGGCTATGTATGGCCTTCACAGAAACACGCGGAAACATTTTGTATCTCACACTAAACGACACACGAACAAGACTTGACAATGATAATAGCCCTGTGGAGAAGACCAGCACTAGGTTTTGTTTTCTTTAACAGCTTTACTGAGGTATTAATTTGCATACCATAAAATTCACGCATTTGAAGTGTACAATTCAAAGATTTTTTTGTAAATATACAGGGTTGTACAATCATGACCACAATACAATTTTAGAACATTTTTATCATCCCCAAAAAGATGCCTCGTGCCCATTTGTAGTCTGTCCCACTTTCTATTCCTATATCCAGGCAACCACTCACCTACATCTGTCTATATAGATTTGCCTTTTCTAGGCATTTCATATAAGTGAAATTATACAATATTTATCACTAGATTTTAAACTCTTTATACTGACAGGCAGTAAGCAGAAAGGGTAAGAGCATGGAACGTGGAGCCAGATTGCCTGAGTTCAAATCCCCGCTCTGCCATTTATAAGCTGTGAAACTTTGGGTAAGTTATTTAGCTTATCTGTACATCAGTTTCTTCATCAATAAAATGGGATATTAACTGTACCTCCCTCATGGGGTTGTGAGATTTAAATAAATTTACATAAATCTGGCACATAGTGAACCAAACCCATTGTCATCAAGTCAATTCCAACTCAAAGCAACCCTATAGGACAGAGCAGAACTGCCCCAGAGAGTTTCCAAGGAGCGGCTGATGGATTCGAACTGCCAACCTTTTGGTTAGCAGCTGTAGCACTTAACCACTACACCACCAGGGTTTCTGGCACACAGTGAGTGCTACTTAAATGTTGCCCATCGTTACCTCATTTGACTCTCAAAATTCCTGTGGAGGGAGGCAGAGAGGACATGAGTCCAATTTTACATATGGTAACTAGGGGCCAAGATACATCGTTAATAAGTGGTAACGCCCAAATCAGAACCCACTACACCCTTCTATGTCTGTAACATTTCCAAGACTAGCCCAATCTTGCATCTTGGGACTGTCCCACTTCGTCCTCTGTTTAAGGATGCTGTCTTTTTTTCTGTGGACAACAAGCTTCTTCTTACCGGAGCTGGGATTGCAGCTTTCCTGCTTTGTTTATGAAATCTTCCCAAACTGGATAGCTCCCCTGCAACAAAACAAAGCCATCAATAAACCACACTGTGATAGACATCTGATTCAGGCATTTACAGAATACCCAATTCCAATTATGCAGGCAACAATCTGTGTACGACTATCTTCCTTTGCAGTGTCTATTATACGCTGCCCAGATTATACATAAATTTATTGGCTGAGGAACTGTGTTTAGAATGTGCTCCATCCATGTAATCCTGCAAATACTACAGACATCAACTGGAACTAGTTCAGCCAAATCTAACACATAACACATTGCTGTATCACCTTTTCACTCAATAGATGGGGGCTCCAAATGTATGGAGTGCCAAACATTTAAGGCTCTACCTCGATCCTGCTGCTTATGCAACATGGCCCTGGCTGTTCTAGCCCTTGTCCCAAACAGCAGGGAGGAGGGAACCAGAGTGACTGGGGCTCCTCCCCAGGACAGATGGCTATCAGGAAGCATTATTAGAATATCAGAATCTCAAGGTTGGGAAGTTATCTAAATATAGCCACTCAGCTGATGCCTTCAGCCAACATCTACACACAATATGGCAACAGGTGGTTCCCCAGCCAGCCTGTGCTGTTCAGCTAACAGAGAGCCCATCACCCTCCCATGGCAGCCCACACCAGCCACCTTGTCCTTAATGTCCACGTGATTCCAGTTCTAACCTTCTCAGGGCCCTCAGAGTACAACCAATTCTGCTTCCATGTGGAAGTCTTTTAAAAAAACTAAGGATAACTAGGGCATCGGTGGTCCAGTGGTAGAATTCTATTTGCTCAGCATATAGATTGAATAAGTATGGTGAAAGGATACAACCCTGAAGCACACCTTTCCTGGTTTTAAACTATGTAGTATCCTCTTGTTCTGTTCGAACGACTACCTCTTGGTCTATGTACAGGTTAGGCATGAGCACAATTAAGTGTTCTGGAATTCCCATTCTTCCCAGTGTTATCCATAATTTGTTATGATCCACAGTTGAATGCCTTTGCAGAGTCAATAAAACACACTCACTTCTAAACACTAAATATACAATAGATAAGTGATAACTTCGGTGAAGCGTAAGACAGTACACAATACCTGGGAAGCCAGCACAACTCGTACAAGGCAAGGTCATGGAAGCTGCATAGACATGTCCAAACTTCCTGAGGGACTGAATTACTGTACTGAGGGCCGTGGGGACCATGGTCCAGGGGAACATCTAGCTCAACTGGCATAATGTAATTTACAAAGAAAATGTTCTACATTCTACTTTAGTGAGTAGCATCTGGGGACTTAAAAGCTTGTGAGTGGCCGTCGAAGATACTCCACTGGTCTCACCCCTTCGGGAGCAAAGGAGAATGGAGAACACCAAAGACACAAGGGGAAGATTAGTCCAAAGGACTAACTGGACCACAACTACCACAGCCTCCACCAGACTGAGTCCAGCACAACTAGATGGTGCCCAGCTACCATCACTGACTGCTCTGACAGGAATCACAATACAGGGTCCCAGACAGCGCTGGAGAAGAATGTAGAACAAAATTCCAACTCACAAAAAAACACCAGACTTACTGGTCTGACAGAGACTGGAAAAACCGTGAGAGTATGGCTCCCAGACACACTTTTAGGTCACTCCTGAGGTTCACCCTTTAGCCAAGGATTAGGCAGGCCCATAAAACAAAACGAGACTAAAGGGGCACACCAGCCCAGGGACAAGGACTAGAAGGAAGGAGGGAACAGGAAAGCTGGTAATAGTGAACCCAAGGTCGAGAAGGGAGACTGTTAACATGTCATGGGGCTGGTAACCAACGTCACAAAACAATATGTGTACTAACTGTTCAATGAAAAGCTAGTTTGTTCTGTAAACCTTCATCTAAAGTACAATAATTAAAAAAAATACACACACTTACAATAAAACATTACTCACTACATGCCAGTAATACCGCCTTCCTCCCCCAGTTGTGATAATCAAAAAGGTCTCCAAATATCGCGGAATGTCCCGTTGTGAGGTGCTGTCAAGTCAATTCCAACTCATAGCAACCAATGTGACAGAGCAGAACTGCCCCACAGGGTTTTCTTGGTTGTAATCTTTACAGGAGTAGATCGCCAGGTCTTTCTCCCACAGAGCCTCTGGGTAGATTCGAACTGCCAGCCTTTCAGTTAGCAGCCAAGTGCTTAACTGTTGCCCTACCAGGGCTACCAAAAAAACCAAACCCGTTGCCGTCAAGTCAATTCTGCAGAACTGCCCCATAGGGTTTCCAAGGAGCGCCTGGCGGATTCGAACTGCCAACCTTTTGATGAGCAGCTGTAGCTCTTAACCAGTATGCCACCAGGGTTTCCCTACCAGGGCTAGGGGGTAAAAATTGCCCCCAGTTAAGAATTCTTGCCTTAGAGGGATGGCTGAGAAACTAATTTCTTTTGGTGAAGAAACAGTTAACTGAAGTTCAGAATTACTTCAGTTTCTTCAGTATTACCACAGTTTCATTTTCTTCTGCTGAAGTAAAATGACGTATTTTAAAAATAACATGCATAGTAGGAACACATTGCTATAAAACTGCCTATTTACGTATTTCTCTAGCTATCAATTCTATCTGAAAATGTGCACAGAGCTATCTGGAAAACTGTTTGTCTACCAAATATTAAAATGCGTTCTTTCTGGAAGCTAAAATTTGGACCGATTGCTGCTTTCTTCTTTGTACTTTCCTCTATGGCTAGAATTTTTTTAAAATAAGGATCACGTATCATTTTTATGAAAACAATAAAGACATTACATAAAAAAAACTTAAGATCAAATTAGAGGTTCTGGCAAGAATGGCCCCATGACTTTACAATCTACCCAAGCCTTGCCGTCTGTTTCACACGTGCAGCTAGACCACATCCATCAGTTCTGTATTCGTGTGATCGAGACATGCTCGGCTCAAGCACAGGTCTCCGGATTTACTCCTGTTAAGTGACAATTTGCTCCAACGGACGCTAAACTGTACCAGGGCAGGGATCCTGTCTAACCGGCTCCTGGCAGAGGTCCTTAGGCAGCCGCACCTGAGATAGTGTCAATCAATACCTGTGCATGAGTCTTGTCACCATACTGCTAAGCCCTGTGGCCACCATCCCGTCTTTGTACCCTGGGGGTTTCCTTCAATCCAAGAGCAGAATTAATGTATTAACTTATATGAAATGAGATCGTGCAAGATCTCACAATCCCTGGGTAGCACAAACAGTTAAGCGCTTGATTCCTAAACCAAAAGCTGGCGGTTCGAACCCATTCAGCAGCGCCATGGAAGAAAGGCTTAGAGATCTATTTCCAAAAAACCAGTCCTTGAAAACCCTATGGAGCACGGTTTTACTCTGACACACATGGGGTCACCATGAGTCAGAATCGACTCAATAGCAGCAACTGGTTTGGTTTTGGTTTTGCAATATCTCAGGCTACCATTCTAGCCCATAAAGACATTGTAGGGATTCCAATTCTAACACCCCATATATTTACCGTTTTCTTGTCAAGTCCAGATATGAACAGCCCTTCTACATTTACATCAAGTAATTAAAGCGATAAGGGCCAAGATCAGGGTCCCTGACTGGTCACTAGAGAGCTCTGTCCAGATGGACAGCAGTTAGCACCCTTAAGAGCACAAGATTTCAACCAAACAAATTATAATGAGACTTCAACCAAACAATTACAGCCTCGTCTACCCATTCTTTCACTTTCTGATTCATAAGCTATTGTAAGAAACTCTTTGAAAAGATGGAGGATGTTCAGAGACACTGTCCACCTAATTCTATTCCAAGGTACCACCATCTCTCACACAGGGAGAAGGACCTGAGGGCTGGGCCCTTCTCTCCCAGGCACCAACAACCCCCAACCAGGGAGCCCTGGAGAAGGCCACCAAGATGAGCAATAATGTTTATTAAGAGAAAAGTGAGATATCCAGCAAGAACATGCCAGAATGCCTAGTGCCCTGGAAAGGGAACACTGAGTCCTGAGTTCTAGACACAGCCTTGCCAGGATTTACTGAGTGAAATCACTTTACCTCTCAGGATCTGTCTCCTAATAATAATAAAAAATGTAATAATGATAGATCTCTGGGTGGCACAAACAGTTAAGCACTCCACTACTAGCCCAAAAGTTGGTAGTTCAAATCCAACCAGAGGCGCCTGAGGAGACAGGCCTGGCAATCTGCTTCTGAAAGATCACAGCCTTGAAAACCCTAAGGAGCAGTTAGTTACTTCTACTCTGCACACATGGGGTAACTATGAGTCAGAACTGACTTGATGGCAACCAACAACAACAATAACGATAGGTGTTATATATAATATTTAAATAGAAAACATAATAAAAACATAAATTATAAAATAATAATAATAATTCCATCACCATCATCAGCAATACCAATTACTCAACTTTGAAAGAATACAGGGTAGGAGTTAGGAGCACAAATTTGGGAGTCCAATTGCTTAGGTTGTATCTCAGTTTTAATGTTTGCTAGATGACATTCAGTAAGTCGCTTAAGCTCTACATGAGGACAAGTCACCACTTTACAGGGTTAGTGCAAGAAATAAATGAGGACATACATAAAAAGTGCTCAGTGCATCGCCTTACACACAGTAAGTACTCGATAAAGTGAACAGAAGAAATGATGATGTAAAAGAGCTGAACAGAAGATTTCAAAGGGCGACTTGAGAAGACAAAGTAAAGTATTATAATGAAATGTGCAAAGATCTGGAGTCAGAAAACCAAAAAGGAAGAACACGTTTGGCATTTGACAAGCTAGAAGTACTGAAGAAAAAAAATCCAAGTCTCGAGTTGCAATACTGAAGGATTCCATGGGCAAAATATTGAACAACGCTGGAAGCATCAAAATAAGATGGAAGGAATACACAGATTCACTGTACCAAAAAGAACTGGTCAACATTCAACCATGTCAGGAGGTAGCATATGATCAAGAACCGATGGTACAGAAGGAAGAAGTCCGAGCTGCACTGAAGACGCTGGTGGAAAAACAAGGCTCCAGGAATTGACAGAATATCAATTG